AGGAGGAGGAGGAGGAGGAGGAAGAGGAGGAGGAGACCAATTTCGGCGGTGTGCCTCCGCCGAGGGGAAGAGGATCCCGATCTCGGCGATCGTGGTCGTAGTCTGGCTTCCAGGGTTGCCGACACCTCACCGCCAGCACCGAGATCCAAGATCCTCTTCCTCTTGCGGAGGCAGCCCCCTTGCGTGGGTGTTGGTGCCAATGTCCAGGCCTCCGACCTTGGGCCCTTCGCCCCCGTCGGCGCCCCCGCGGAAGTGGCCCTTCGCCAGAGTGACCTTAGGTGCGCGCCCAGCGGGGCCCCCCGATCGCCGAGTGCGGTGCGATACGGTGAGTGCATTGGATGCTGGGATGACCGTGGGGGTTTGTTTCTAAGTGGATAGGGGGGTTGCAAGTGGACGCCAAGGTGGCTTCTATCTGGCCCAACCTGGCTTAGAAGTGGGTTACAAGTGCCTTAAGTAGCTTAGGGGGGTTATGTAGCGATCCTGGCTAGGCGGGCTTCGCCCACTTAGCCGAGTTATCTAACCCCCCTAAACCGGTCGGGGCATTTGTAACCCACTTATAAGCCAGGTTGGGCCAGGTATAACCCACATTAGCATCCACTTGTAACCCCCCTTTATCCACTTAGAACCCCCCACGGTCATCCCAGTAGGGACACATTGGATGAGGAGTCCATGATCTCGAAGCCAGTGGAACTTCGATCGTGAATGGGCCATGGATAGTGCCGACGCCCTTCTTAGATGAGGAACCCTCCAGGGTCTGACGCCTCCTGGGCGCATTCCTTCAGCAACGCCCCCACCGTGGTAGTGTCTTGCACGCTTGTGTTTGGCCCCCCCCCCTCCCCCCGCGGCCCTCAAAGCGATGCTCACCAAAGGTCACTCTTACCCAGGGTCGTCGCTTTTGCGTGTAGCCGAGCCTCCTAGGGGCGGGGGAGGGTCGGCAGCAAATCATTTACCAGCCCGGAGCATATCCCTATCACTTTGATTGCCATCACCTAATCTTGATGCCGATCTTAAATGTTCCCTCAGTCTCTGAGGGCGCATCCCTGAGATCGTCTTCGCATGGGGGCGTGTCAATCTGAAGGGTAGGGATACGATCGAGGCTTGTTACTCATGGAAGCTTTGTGTGCCCGCGTGATTCCGTCTTTGGAGTGTACTCGGGTCGATTAGCGTCTGGTAATCGATGAGGCAGCGCCACTTTGAGCGTCGATGAATGCGGTTAGAGTCGATTTGGCGTCCATTCGGCGTCGATCAGCGTGGACCCCCAAGAGCCAACAGGATGGTATGGGAGGAGCCCATGCGTTGCCGCAGAAGGGGGGGGGAGAAGCTGGACTGCAGCGGCGGGCCAGGCTGTCTTGCGTTCCTCGCTCTCTCCTTCTCTCCTCCTCTCCTTCTTGTGGCCCGCGCCGCTCTCCCCCCCCTCGTCCTGGCCCCCCCGGGGAGGTGCCCGGCGAGGTCCGGGCGGGATGCCCTGCAGCAGCTCCGGCTCGTTCCCAGGTCGCGGGGGGTTAGCCACGTCCGGTCCTCCTCCTCCTCCTCCACCTCCTCCTCGCCTCCTCCTCCTCCTCCTTTTCCTCCTCCTCCTCCTCCTCCTCCTCGTCCTCCTCCTCCTCCTTTTCGTCCTCCTCCTCCTCCGCTCGCTCGCTCGCTCGCTCGCCCTCCTCCTCCTGCCCCTCCTCCTCACCCCGAATCGGGTTGGGGTTAGCCTTGAGTCGGGCATGTCCGTCTACAGGAGGAGTGTTCAAGAGTAGTCGAACCATCCTGGCGCAGGACCCATACATATACGGTTGTTAATGGCGCAATTGATGGCATCGTCTTCGTTGGAGCTCCCTGTGGTGCGCGAAAAATGTGACGGGTGTGCCAACATGGGCTCGGTGGTGTCATGCGAGCGCAGCCACTGGGGCCTTCGGTGGAGCTCCCTTTGGGGCCACGATGCGTCTGAGGGGTGTGCCGACATGGTTGCGATGGTGCCATGCGAGCGCAGCCACTGGGGCCTTCGGTGGAGCTCCCTTTGGGGCCACGAAACGTGTGAGGGGTGTGCCGACATGGATGTGGCGGTGTCATGCGAGCGCAGCCACTGGGGCCTTCGGTGGAGCTTCCTTCGGGGGCACGAAACGTGTGAGGGGTTCGCCGACATGGGTGCGGCGGTGTCATGCGAGTGCAGCCACAGGGGCCTTCGGTGGAGCTCCCTGTGGGGCCACGAAACGTGTGAGGGGTGTGCCAGAATGGGTGCGGCGGTGTCATGCGAGCGCAGCCACTGGGGCCTTCGGTGGAGCTCCCTTTGGGGCCACGAAACGTGTGAGGGGTGTGCCGGAACAGAAACATGCGGAGGGCAGAGGTAAAGAAGGGGCAGCGCGAGAAGGAGGAGGAGGAGGAGGAGGAGGAGGAGAGCGGAGGGGAGGAGGGGAGGAAGGAGGAGGAGGAGGAGCAGCGCGGAGGAGGCGGAGGAGGCCGGAGGAGGAGGAGGAGGAGGAGGAGGAGGAGGGAGGAGCAGGAGGAGGAGGAG